CTTTGGGAAGAAGGGGAGGGGGCGGCTGGAGGGTACTCGACGTTGGGAGGGAGGTGAGGGTGAAAGGCAGCAGAAACCGGCGCCCGGTTTGGGAGGTGACAGGAGGCACCGCGGGAGGGGAGGGCGCAGCGTCCGGACCCCGGGTTAGGAGGGGCGGGCCGGGTTCAGAGGGGCACCAGACAGGGTGGGCCCCTGAGGGTGTCACCGGCGCCTGGAGGTCGCTGCGTCGCTGCCTCCCAACCCTGACCTAGCCCTGGCCTTTGGCTGTGCGCACCCCGAGTTCTAGCCCCTAGGGAGCGGACATACGAGGGAGCTAAGGTTCGGGCCACCACCTTAGTGGAGCAACAGACGGGCGTCATCTCCCCGGCGTGCGGGTGTAGACGACCAGGCCGTGGATGTAGACAGCCGGCTGGCTTTCCCCGCGCGCAGCGGGGTGCGTTCCTCCCTAGAAGGGGGCAAGGCCCGAGGGGGGCTGCTCAGCCCTGCGCGCGCCTGGGCAGTGCAAGGGAGGGGCCCGAGGGGGAGGAGGGCAGGCAGCGCTGAAGCGGGGTGCACCGTTCCTTCACTGTGATGCCCGCTAAGTCCCTGACTCGATTTTACAGGGCACGGGAGGGGGCCCTGGGCTGAGGGTTTCTTTCAATTTAGAAAACTGAATTTAGAAAAACTTTAAAACAAAAATTAAAGAAAGCACACAAGAGAACAATCGACCCCATATATAAATTGTCCAGATCAGTATTTCACTGTATTTGCTTCATTTGTCCCATTCTTTAGTGTTGGCTGAAGATTAAAAAACAAAACAAAACAAAAAAACAAATCCCAGACATCACTAGATTCATCTCTACTGCTTCTGCAAGGGAGAAAAAAACCTTCCCTCTACCCTCTTGTTTCAGTGGCTGGGGCCTAATGTAACTGACAAAAGCCTCATCAACAGGAAAACCCCAATTTGCACGTATTTGGGCTTCAACGAAGGAAGTAGCTTGTTAAACAGTTAAAGTTAAAGGCGTATATATAAAACTTCGGGAAAAGGAAGGGACAGGAATGGCCTCTATGGGAAAAACAATAGGTTTCTTTAGGAAAGGCAAAAAGGGGGTTGGCGGAAAGGGGCCACATACTAAACCTGGCAGGCTCAGGGAAAGCCTGTGTGGCTAACCACAAAGGATGGTCTGAAATTAAAACTTTTTACCTAAAAAGAGTTTGTGGTGGGTAGTCATGTCCTAGACTGGCATCTTCCCTGACAGAGGTCAACCTTTACCTTAACTGAGCCTGTCTACTGTCTTTTTACACCTACAATAACATATCTTTAGAATGTCAAAATAATTTTCCTTTTTCTGAACCCCTCGAAGCACAGGCACTACTCTGCAGAAATCACAAATCCCCTCATTATTACTGAGTTGTTGACTGTTAACTATTTTATACCCACCTATGTAAAAGAAGTGTGTGTCTATCATTTTACTTTGTATCCAATCCCAGAGGTTTCCCTACTTTGCTTTCTCCCACCTCCCTAATCTATCACCAATAGATTTCATATAACCCACCTGCTTCTTTTAATTGTAATGTATAAAATAAGGTACAAAACTGCCATTCTCTGGAGCATTATTTCAATCTGTTGAGATTTTGCTTCTTGGCAACTGTGGACAGTTTGGCTCAAATGAACTCACAAAAATTCTCCGTAGGTTTGAATGTTTCTTACACTGACACTTTCAGCTTTCTCCTGTGTAAGACGCATGCTGAACTAAACCATCCTGAAACACATTTCAGCTTTAACACTCTATGACCCAATTTTTATCTTCATTTGAACATGAAAAATTTGGAAGAATACCACTCTGGTGTATGTTTTTTACCCCCCTCACCACCTAGCAATTAACTCAATTCTGACCCTATCTACCTGCAGATAGTAAAGGGTTCAGTCCCATAAGACTGTTTCTACTTCAGACACCGATGGTAAGTTGTTTCTCTCCAACTGGCTGTAAATCAGCTTTGAAAATTTGCTAGAGTGGCTCACAGAACTCATAAATATGTCACTAGATCACCAGTTTAATATCAAAATATATAACTTAGGAACAGCCAGATGGAAAAGATGCAGATGGCAAACATGGGGAAAGGGTGAGGGGCTCCCATGCTCTCTGAGCCCACCACTCTCCCTGCAGCTCCACATGTCCATCAACCCAAAAGCTCTTCAAAACCTGTCCTTTTAGGTGTCTGTAGCAGCTTTGTCCCACAGGCACAAATGATTAAATCACTAACCGTTGTTGATAGATTCAACCTCCAGGCCCCCTACACCCCACCCCAAGGTGAGGGGGTGGGACTGAAATTTCCAACCCTCTAATCATTGGCTGGTTCCCCTGATGGGCAGCCCCATCCTTAGGAGCTTTACAAAATCACTGCATTCACATAACAAAAGACACCTTTATGGCTCTTATCTTGAGGAATCCAGGGGTTTTAAAAGCTATATTTGAGATGAAGATCAAATACTTACGTATTTTTATTATAAATCACAACATCACAACCACAATGATTTCAAATTGACCTCTTAGTAGTGATACCAACCAATATGTGAGTCCATCTGCCTGTGCACACAGGCCAAAAGAAATGCACCAGCAGGAGTTTGCAGTGTAGAAAGAAAGAAATTTGATATTAAATTGGCCAACCCAGAGACGGGGAGCTAGTGCTATGAAAGACTCCACTCCCTGATGGTGCATAGGTTACAGATTATATAACCATGGGTTAGGGGTTTGAGGTGGTATTGGAAACTGGTTGGTTGTGTTGGCAGTGGAAGGGAACCAGGTGTTAGACCAGTGGAGTCAGACTGGAGACCTTAGTTCAGCAACCTCAGTACTTGGGTTCTAGAAAAAGGTCACCGTTACAGTAACACACCTGTGGGGAAGAGCAGGCCGGGAAAGGAAGAGGGAGACTGCACTGGATTCTTCTTAGAGGGTTTTAAAGGCTGGGGGTTTAGGGGAGGTCTTAAGGGAGGGCCTTAAGATATTCATCAGCTTTCCAGATGAGTCCTTTCAGGGTCCATCTCCACTGAATTGGTTGGTGCCAAGGGCTCATCAGTCAATGGAGCCGGTCCTGAAGTCAGTCATGGCATGGATTGGTTTTGCTGCTTGTCTGGGCCTGAAGCTGAAACACAGCTGAGGCCTAGATATATTTGGTATGAGTCAGAACCTCATTGTCCTGGGGGCTTAATGCTTAAGGGCTATTCTCCACCACCTCCCCCTATTCCTCCTCCGGGGTGGGGGGTCCTACAGCAGGACTAGTGACAGGCCAGGGGAGGAAAGGGTCAGGGGAGGGTCTGAACCAGTGAGCAGCTAGCTATATGCTAGGGGAGGAAAGGTTACCCTAGGAGCCGGGTCCTTGGTTTCCCAGTTTTGCCAGTTGCTAGGCACCCAGGGCTTTGTGCCCTGGTGAGCTTCTGGCCTATAGTCTTTGCTCTGCTCACGTCTGCCTACCACGTTCACGGTTTGCCAGTCACATTTACGACTCCCATTTGGTGCACTTTAAAGTCTGTATCAGATTTTTAAGAACTCACAAAACCAAAAAGCAATACTTCAAAAGGTTTTGCACTTGTATGGGATAGCAAATTCATTTTTAAAAATTTTAAATCATGTAGTAGTAAACATAGCGATTTTTTTTTAAACTGCGTTCTTGGTTGTGTTCAAAATAAAAAGATTGCTCCTCCCCCAAACTCTGGTTTTTCCTAAAGAAAAGCTAACATATCCTAGGGCCTGTATCCCTGGGATGCCTTGGACACTTTCGTTCAGAATCAATGGATTTGTCCTCCCTGGGGGCAGCGCCCACAGTCCACCGGGTGGCGCGCAGGGCACCGGGCGTGTATAACCGTGGTTCTAGGGAGGGGCACGCAGACAGTCTTCCAGCACCTGCCCGGACCCCGAGCCTGCGCGTGTGTCGCGGCCGAAGGGGTGCTTTCTTGTGTGGCGGGGATGGGGTGGTGGAGCGCTTGCCGCTCAGGTCCTAGCAGCTGACAAAATACTTTTAAATGCCATGCAAATAATAAAACTTGGCTTCTCTCTCGCGCCCACAAGTCACTTATGGGGGAAGTGACAATCCCTGTAAGGTTTCGTGGCGAGACTCCGTGGGCGGCCCATCGACCAGAGAGTGAAGCGCCGCGTGGACAGCGGGGGTCGTACACCGCTGCCAGGACCCTGCGTGCGGCGTCCTGTCGGCCCCGCCCCACGCATCCCGGTCGCCATCCTTGTCCAGGTCCAGCGCAGTTTCCGCGCTTCGCGTCCGCGTACCGGTCCGGTGACGCGCTCTTCAGCCTCTCCGCCCGCGCCCTCCCCAAGGGTCG